TTAGGGTTCCATGTACCCAAATAGTACACACTTGGGCCTTAAGGTGGTCCCCATGTGGGTACTTTGGGGCCAGAGTATATACTATTTGGGCACATGGACCCACAGGGTTCCTCGTTAGGGTTTGGGGTGAAGGTTTTGGGGTTTGGGGCGTATAGTTTAGGGCATTTCGTTTTGTGGGTGCGGGATTTCGGTTAGAGGTGTTCGCTTCGGACCTATTGCAGTTTAGGGCAGCGAGCAGTCAGGTTCCTGCTTTCAGCTTAGGGTTTGGCCCAAACGGAAGCTTTGTTCGCTGCGACTGCCTTCTTTGGAAGATGGTCTTAGGATCATTACCTCTCTAACCCCGACACCCTAAACTCTAAACTTCCAAAACCTTAAAACCGTAAACCTTAAAACCCTAAACTCTAAACCCGAGACAAGAAATGCAAGAAAACCCTCACCGCCCGAAGCCAGACCTCAAAGCCAAACAACGGCAGAAGCCTCAATGCATACGGATTAGGGATTATGGTTTACGGGTTGAGGGGTTTAGGGGTTTGGGGTTTACGGGTTTACGGGTTTACGGGTTTAGGGGTTTAGGGGTTTAGGGGTTTAGGGGTTTAGGGGTTTAGGGGTTTAGGGGTTTAGGGTTTAGGATATTAGGGCCTGGAGCATTTACTGACCCGGACAGAACTGGATAATTCAGAGGCCTCAATAATTAGAACAGCTTTTTTTGGGTGGAGGGGAGGGGGGGGGATGTTATGCCATAATTTTAGTAAGGAGCCCCCAAAATAGTTAAATAGTTGTTTAAGCCCCTATATACATTCGAGCCCCTTAAGATTTCGATTTGGGCTTCGGGTTGGGGAACTATTGAGGGTTGAGGGTTTATGGTTTCGGGTGAGAGGCCCCCCTACACGACTCTGGCAAAAGTCTTGTAAGACCTCACAAAACCTTAGAAAACAATAATAACTCCCGGCCGAACCCGTGAGACTCTTCAAACAAAAGCTATCAACACATGAACAACGAAAACCAGAATTAAACCCTAAACGCTGCAAAAACAAAACAAAACCCTAAACTGAATCACAAACAAGAAAACCAAACCAATCAAAACCCACACCCTCAAACAAAAAACCCTACGAAACAAAACTAGAAACCTACGAAACAAAACCTACATACCCTAAGAAACAAAACTACAAACCCTACGAAACAAAACTACAAACCCTACGAAACAAAACCTACAAAACCTACGAAACAAAACTACAAACCCTACGACACAAAACCTACAAACCCTACGAAACAAAACTAAAACCCTTACGAAACAAACCTACATACCCTACGAAACAAAACCCTAAACCCTAAACCCTAAACCCTAAACCCTAAACCCTAAACCCCTACACCCCTAAACCCCAAACCCTAAACCCTAAACCTCTAAACCCCTAAATCCTAACTTGCATCTCAAACCCGAGAGTCGATCGCTACACAGGGCTTGGCAGTCTCCCAGCGACCGGTTCATCTGCACCTTTGCAAGAGCCCCGGGTTTCGGGTTTAGGGTTTAGGGTTTAGGGTTTAGGGTTTCAGAGACTCCAAAACCCCTTAATTAAGTAATATACCTTAAACCGACTTAAATGATTTTAGGATTCCTATTCTGGTTTAAGGTATATTCCTTAATTAAGGGGTTTTGGAGTCTCTGGGAGCTAGGGGTTTAGGGTGTGGGGGTTTAGGGGTTTAGGGGGTAAGGGTTGGGGTTCTTTTTAAGTGTAATGGTTGGGGGTTTAGGGTTTGGGGGTATCTGAGGTACCTGCACCTTTGGAGCTAGGGGCTTCGGGTTTTGGGGGTTTAGGGTTTGGGGGGTTGGGGGTTGGGGGTTTAGGGGTTTAGGGGTTTCGGGCTTTAGGGCTTGGGGGTTTACGGGTTTAGGGGCTTTCGGGATTAGGGTTTAGGGATTTAGGGGTTAGGGGGTTTAGGGGTTTGGGGGCTTCTGGGGTTACGGTTTAGGGGTTTGGGGTCTAGGAGAGCTTGGGCACTGTCCCCCATACAGTAACAGTGTGTAACCGGGCTACTGTTAAGGTCTTTTCATTCTATCTACATTAGGACTACTTTCAAACACGATTCAACTGCTATAAGTCAGGGCATTAATCATCCAAGAACCCAGAAAATAAAACACAAGTTCAATATCTAAATTTATATCTGTCTGTATATATATATATATAGGTAGAGTAAATGAAATTTAATACACAACGACATAGTCTAGTAAAACGCGCTATGGTCTAGCACGATGACATGTTACGTCTACCAGGATCCTTAAGATTGAAGGTCCGGCCCTTAATCCAGGGGCTAGGGTTTAGGGTTTAGGGTTTTGGGGTCTCCGAGCAGCCAGAGACACCAAGCGGACGCTGCTTCCAAGGAACTTCGTACTCACCAGAGAGGTATGTGCCTGCACATGAAGGTGCTGGATCCCTAAACCCTAAACCCTAAAGCCTCCACCCTAAACCCTGAACCCTAACCCCTCAACCCTAAACCCTTAACACTAAACCCTCAACCGTGAACCGTAAACCCTCAACCCTAAACCCTGAACCCTAAAGCCTAAACCCCAAATCCTAAACCGAAAGCCCCAAGCCAAAATCCCTGGGGTTGAAGGTTTAATATAAACACACAAGTTCGATATCTAAATACATGTCTATATACATGTAGAGTAACATGAAATCTAATACAAAACGATATAGTCCGGTATAAGGCGCTATGGCCTAGCACGAGTATGAAAGGGGAAGGCCGAACGACACCAAGGCCTCTGGGCTTAGGGCTAGGGGTTGAGATGCTGGTTTAGGATTGAAGGCCTAGGGATTAGGATCGAAGGCCTAGGGTTTAGGGTTGAGGGTTTGGGGTTACGGTTGAGGGTCTAAGATTTATAGGGTTTAGGATTGAGGGCCTAGGGTTTAGGGTTGAGGGTCTAAGGTTCAGGGTCGAGGGTCTAGGGTTTCGGGTTGAGGGTTTAGGACGAGGCGCCACACTGTAGTTGAGGTGAGTCTTATAGGGCTGGGCTCGAGAAAGAGCCTTATGAGAGAGCTTGGTGTGGTATGTCCGCAAAGCCATGAACTGACAGCTGCAAATTCACCATTTGCACGCCTTTCTCCCGACATGACGTCGGGGGCTGTTCACAATGCCTGTCACCAAAATCAACCCTAAACCCCAAGCCCTAAACCTTATCGGGGGGTGGGAATGACTGTAATATTCGTCCTGGGGTTCCCTCTTATAGATATACCTACGATACTCCTCCCCTAAAAAACCCTCCCTAAACCCTAAACCCTAAACTCTAAACCCCAAACCCTAAACCCTAATCTCTAAACCCCAAACCCAGAACTCTAAACCC